AATAGATCTACCCTATGGCCCAGCAATAGCACTGCTAGGAATTGACCCAAGGGATACAGGAGTGCTGATGCGTAGGGGCACTTGTACCCCAATGTTTACAGCAGCACTTTCAACAATAGCCAACTTATGGAAAGAGCCTAAATGTCCATCAACTGAAGAATGGATAAAGAAGATGTGGTTTATATATCCAATGGAATACTACTTGGTAATGAGAAAGAATGAAATCCTGCCATTTGCAACAACGTGGATGGAACTGGAGGGTATTATGCTAAGTGAAATAAGTCAGTCAGAGAAAGATACCGTATGTTTTCACTCATATGTGGAACTTGAGAAACTTAACAGAAGACCATGAGGGAACGGAAGGGAAGGGGAAAAAATAGTTTACAACAGCGAGGGAGGCAAACCGTAAGAGACTCTTTAAATATAGAGAACAAACTGAGGTTGATAGGGTGGGAGGGGGAGAGGGGAGAATGGGTGATGGGCATCGAGGAGGGCACCTGTTGGGATGAGCACTGGGTGTATGTAAGTGGTGAATCATGGGAATCTACCCCCCAAACCAAGAGCACACTGACAATGTGTTAGCTACCTTGACAATAAATTATGGTTAGAAAAATAAATTGATGGTGATGCGGAGGACGACGATATCAAGGGAGTTAACTTTTGAAGGTTAGATGCGAAACCTTTTGCTAAATGCCAAACCCAAAACTGACCCCTTGTGATGGATCCCAAGCTCCATCACAACAGCAGAAGGAATAAAGCTCTATCCCATCTTCTCTGGCTCACCAACAGATTTCGATAAATCTCTCCATGCCAGTCACCCGTAGTTGGGACTGTGCCAGGATGTCCTTTCACTACAGCAAAAGGGATGCAAACTCATAGAGTAAGTTAGGCTTTTAAGAGGCCCTTAGGGGCGCCTGGGTGGCACAGTCGGTTAAGCGTCCGACTTCAGCCAGGTCACGATCTCGCGGTCCGTGAGTTCGAGCCCCGCGTCGGGCTCTGGGCTGATGGCTCGGAGCCTGGAGCCTGTTTCCGATTCTGTGTCTCCCTCTCTCTCTGCCCCTCCCCCGTTCATGCTCTGTCTCTCTCTGTCCCAAAAATAAATAAACGTTGAAAAAAAAAAAAAAATTAAAAAAAGAGGCCCTTAAATGTTGACTGATGCCCGTGTTAAAATGTTGCTTTTAAGGATACGACTTTTATCGAATGTAATAATCAATGATTTTGTTTGTTTGTCTGTTTGTTTGGGATTCTGTACTTTATGGATAAAGACTCGCCCAGATGCTGCAAGCATCGTATTCTTGACGCTCCACACGCCCTCACGGAGGCTCTGCTCTTTCCCCACAGGCTGTGCATCTCTGGCTCTCAGATACTCCCAGGGGTGTGCTCTTCCCCTGCACTGCCAGGCCCCGCTCGCACGCGGCCTGCTGACTGTTCAGCAGGTTCACCCCTGGAAGAAGAGGTTTACGATGCGGATGGAAAGATGGAAGAATATTTTGCTTTTGACAGAAAAGAAGAGTAAATAGAATTTACTTGACATTGACTTAGTATAATAATATTAACCTTTTTGGCATTTATTTTGATTATCCGCTCATTTGGTGTTTTGCGTAGTTTTTACTTGTCCGAATGATTTTCCATTCTTTTGAGAGTAATGTACTCCCCAAAGTGTTTAGATTCCTTTTTTTTTTTAATTTAAAAAAAATTTAACGGTTATTCATTTTTGAGAGACAGAGACAGAGTGTGAGTGGGGGAGGGGCAGAGAGAGAGGGAGACACAGAATCCAAAGCAGCTCCAGGCTCTGAGCTGCCAGCACAGAGCCCGTCGCAGGGCTCGAACTCATGGACTGTGAGATCATGACCTGAGCTGAAGTCGGACGCTTAACCGACTGAGCCACCCCGGTGCCCAAAAAGTTTTTAGATTCCTAACAGGATGTGTCTGTGCTAGATCAGTGCTCCCCTCTCTGTTTTGACCATATGGCACAGATGGGGAACAAGAAGTGTGTTTGGCATTCTGGCGAAAGTGGACAAGGCCACCTGAGGACTCCAGGCTGCCCAGAAGGGCACAGGGGAAGGCCCCGTCTCTGCACTAGATACAGAGGCTTAAATTGGTTCCTAGATAAAAGCTACAAAGATTGAATAATAAAAATTGGTCTTGTGATCGAAACTTGGTAGCAATAAAAAGTAACAATGTACTGTTTAAAACAGGATGTTACAGGGGCGCCTGGGTGGCTCAGTGGGTTGAGCGTCCGACTTCAGCTCAGGTCACTATCTCGCGGTCCGCGAGTTCGAGCCCCGCGTCGGGCTCTGGGCTGATGGCTCAGAGCCTGGAGCCTGCTTCCGATTCTGTGTCTCCCTCTCTCTCTGCCCCTCCCCTGTTCATGCTCTGTCTCTCTCTGCCTCAAAAATAAATGAACGTTAAAAAAATTTTTTTTTAAATAAAAAAAATAAAACAGGATGTTATATTTATTTATATATGCATAATATATATATGCATGCATAGTAGATGGATGGATGGATGGATGGATGGATAGATAGATAGATAGATAGATAGATAGATAGCACTGTTTTAACTTGAGCCACTGATACTTTTAGTAATTACAGTGGGTTTTGTTCTTAGGGGTGATGAATGTCTTGAACAGAAATCAGTTCATCGCCATAGGATGCGGCATAAACACAGACTTCCTCCCGTTTCTCCTCACGACTGTATCAAAGATGCGGTGGCTGCGGAAGTGTTTGATCATGTCTGGACAGATGTGGTAGCACTGTTGGAAGAGCTGGTTAGAAAAACTTGGGAAGTTACACTCCCAGGTACTTATCTGCAGCATGTGTCCCCAATGAAAAGAAAAAAAAAAAGACCCCCCGTTGCCCAGCTTGGTGGCCACACCTGGGATATGGTTGGGTGAGAAAGGAAGTGAGTTTTCCACCCTCCTTCACATGTGATCTTTGATCCCTTCAAAGGGGACATCATCATTTTTTGAGTTCTAAAAATAATATGTGTGCACTTTTGGAAGAGTAACCTAGAAATACACAAGAAAGGAGCTAAAAGTCCCTTTAAAAAATCTCTAATAATAGGATAACCTCTCTAATACTGGGATGTTGGTTTTTAAGGGTTTATGGCATTTTTTTGTAAAGTAAAATGGAAACACAGATAATTGTACAGTTACTTCATTTAACCTAGCGAAATGCTCTCGAAGCTACTGGAGATCGAGAAGAAACAAATCCTAGAAATGCCAGTGATGGACAACACTGGCTAATGTTATGCGATCAGTAGGGTAGTGGTCATGATAATTTAAATACGTTCTTTTCCAACCAAGAGATTAGTTGGGTATTGTACAATACCAAGAATTTTTCTTGCCCCAGTGTATAATCCCTAGTTTTCTACCTACCGCCGAAATGATAGAACGTGCGTGTGGAAAGCATCACATCAGGCAATTGCCTTGTGGGGTCTCCGTGTTATACAAGGTTCAGTGGCCATCGTAGACTCACGGTAACTCCAGAGCAAATATTCTCTTAGAGAATTTTAAGTACCTATGTTAGATAATATGTTTCCTAATAATATTGATTTTTTTGTTTTGTCGTTGACGTGGAAGGAAAGAAACAGAAAGAAAACTTGAAAGTAGCTGAGAATAAATCTCCACTTACACTCATTTCTCGTACGAACACCGATGCGTCGAGTGTTCCCCCATCCAGAAGCTCTGAAGCCCGAAGTATATCCCTGGCTTCTCATCTTCATCCACCTCAGGTAGGTGTTTTTCTACCAGTCTCTCTCTTTCCTTCATTATTTTATGGCCTTTATGTCAAGAGTGCCTGCCTTTCTATATCGAGTATTTGGGTCTGTCAATTGGACTACTTTAAAAATAATTTGTGGAAAAATAAAATAAAAATAAAAATAATTTGTGTATAGAGTTTAGTAGCATCACCATATTCTTGAATAGAGACACTCAGATTTGAGACTTCCCACCTGCATTGAGCTGTAGAACTGTTTACATATTTTTATTTTTATTTAAAAAAATTTTTTTTAATGTTTATTTATTTTTGAGAGAGAGAGAGACAGAGAGAGAGCAGGGGAAGGGCACAGAGAGGGAGACACAGAATCTGATTCAGGCTCTAGGCTCTGAGCTGTCAGCACAGAGCCCGACGCAGGGTTTGAACTCACGAACCACGAGATCATGACCCGAGGTGAAGTCAGAGGCTTAACCAACTGAGCCACCCAGGTGCCCATCCATGTTTTTAAAGAGAAAAAATGCTTTTCCCCAGCATTTCTAGCCAATATGAAGAATCCAGATGTTCTCCTCTCTTCCCTCCCAAATGATAAAAAAAAAAAAAGTCAATGAAAATATGTTGGATCCATTCAACATTTATTGAGTTTACATTAAGTGCACTGTATTAGGTATGTTCAGTTGTATCAATCATATACATGAACGAAGCATAGTCCCTGATCAAGTAGAAAGAAAAGCATAATGCAAGTCAGATGCAATACATTGGGTCAGTTCTGTGCAAAACAAGGCCTCAGGAGAATAAAGGAGAGAATGATTCATCCTGACCTGAGCTCGAGCCTTGATGTTTTAGGTTGGAGGTGAAATTTGAACAGAACCACGAAGAAGCAAGTAGGGCTTGCACGGGTAGGAGGTCTGTGTGGGTCATTTCAGGCCAAGCAGAGGCATGGGGGAGTGGGAGGGTGTGTTTGGAGAACAGTGATTGGACGGGGCAGGGTTAAAGGTGGGGATGCTGGGGCCACCGGGGGCATTGGGTCAAGACCAGGGTGGTGAGAGTCAAGAAACTATGGAGGAACTATTTGGGACGTGTCACTTAACTGTTCCAAAGTTGAGTTTCCTTTACCTAGGGAATGATGATAAGACGTTGTCCAAGGTATTGCCGTGAGGATAAAATTCTGTAAACAGGTGAGAGTTCCTAATGCAAAGCCTAGTGCATTCTAGGCACCCAGGACATTTTTCTTGAATTGCTTCCTTAATCAAAGATCTAGTGGAGGGTGGGGCTGGAAAGGCTGATCTTGCCCATGGGAGACCTTCAGTAACACTAAAGAGTTTGGACTTTATGTTTTGCACAGCTTGTCTTGTGCGGGTGGGGAGCAGAGAAAAAGGACAGGGGTTTCCTGGTCTTGAGGTACATGCAGTTTAGCTGGAGGGAGTCAAGCCAGGCCAAACAACACTGCACACACGCACACAGGCACACAGGCAAGATGAGGCGGCCAGTAGACAGTAGGGTGGATGAGGGTTTGAGCCACAGAACTACAAGTGTCGGGCCCGATGGCACAATTTATGAGCTCTGTGATCTTGAATCAGTCCCTCAAAGCCTCAGTCTCATAATCGATGGGATCTGTGGGTCAGGAGGCCGTGAGAAGCAAAAGAGATAAGATGCTGAGTACAACGCGTAGGGTAGAGTAGGCACTCAATCAGCGTTAGCTTTCATTGTAACCAGATGCGAATTGTGTATCGTATCCTATCATAGCACATCACATCGCATTGTATATTGTAATTTGATATCCTTTAGCTCATAAATGCCCTGGAGAAAAAAATAGCATAGCCTCCATAAAGTAGAGTAATACCTGAATTAAATCCTAAATGATACATTAGATTTGGTAAGGCTGAAAGGAAAAGGGAAGATACTCAAGGCAGAGGCAAAACTGTGCATCTAGAATAGGAGCACATAAACAGACGACCTTTGCAAAGTGTAGAAGAACACAGGTCTGAATAGGATGTACCGTCAGTGGTAGTTTAAAATAGAAATATCTAGGTTGGTTAAGTGTCCAGTTGGTTAAGTGTCCAACTTCAGCTCAGGTCATGATCTCACTGTTCGTGGGTTCGAGCCCTGTGTGGGGCTCTGTGCCGACAGCTCAGAGCCTTCAGATTCTGTGCCTCCCTCTCGCTCTCTGCCCCTCCCCTGCTCGCACTCTGTCTCTCTCTCTCAAAAATAAATAAACATTAAAAAAAGTCAAATAAAATAGAAATATCTAATAGGGTTGTTTTACTCTGTAGTGTAAGGGCTTTGCAGTCAGACTTCTTTGCTTTTGCTGTTCAAAATACACTTTCAGAATGCTGCCGCTAATTGTATTTTTCTCTGGGCTTTTTAAACTGCTCTGGCAGGATCAGCATTGGTTCCCACTTTGCATATTCACATACGCAGTATGAATCGCATAAAAATGGGTGGCTGATGACAGCATAGAAAAGAATCTGTAAGTATTAGGCAAAATATAACTAAGCCCGAAAAATATGGAAAGTTTTCAATCTAAGGAGTTTTTTTACAAGTATTTTCTTTTTGTGGCTTTTTATTTTTTTATTTTTGAGAAGGACAGAGAGGGTGCAAGCAGGAGAGGGGCAGTGAGAGAGGGAGAATCTTGATCAGACTCCGTGCTGTCAACATAGAGCTGGACATGGGGCTTGAACTCACAAACCACGAGATCATGACCTGAGCTGAAGTCAAGAGTTGGACACTTAACTGACTGAGTCATCCAGGCCACCCTCTTTTTATAGCTTTAATGGGCTTCAAAAAAATTTTTTTTACAGCTGATTCGTTGTTTTCATTTGGATCCATGTTAAAAGGAAATGAATGGATGACAAAGTTGAAAATAAAGTATTATTAGAGCCTGTTTTGAAATAGTCAAAGTGTTCTAGCAGTAATGACAGGTCTTAATTTATTCCACTAACATTTTTTTGTTTTTACATGTTCAGCATGGGGGAAAATGTGCTTGTGGTTGCTACATCTATTCTCGAACTAGAATATGATTCTAGTTCAGAAATCCCGTTTGCCTGAATCAAATGTTGTTTTACATCCTGGCTGGTCATATTGCGGGACCAAATAGGGAATTCGGGATTATTTAGCCCGTCGTGCTTTCCCAGTGTTCTTCAACTTAATTCTCATACAAAGTATGTATCAGTATTCTGGACTTAAAGATTAGGGAATTAAACCTCCAAGTAAGCTTTCCAAGACCACCAGTCAGGAAGCGGTTAGAATCGGGATTCAAATTTAAGGGTCTGACGTCTGGTGTTCGGGTTTCTTCCTAGGCTCTTGTGCGCTTCCTGGCAGCTACCTTCCTCAAGCTGTGAAGGACTTCCTCTGGGAGCAGTCCAGTTAGGAGCTGGGGTGCCCTTTCTTTGCTTCTCCAGATTCTCTCTCTACCTTCTTCACCCTGGTATGCCCTGGCCGCTGGTACATTCTAGCTGTCTGGAGGGCTCCTTCGCCCCATATGGCTCTCAGAGCTCAACATGGGAGCAGAACGTGGGACGTTGTTCACTCCTGGCCTCTCTGCCAGGTCGCAGTGGTTGGTGGCGTTTCTCCCTGCAGCTCCCCTTGCCGGATTCCAGAAACTTCTCCCTCCCTTCTTGCCACTTCTTGCATTGGCACTGGCTGCCTTTTAACTTTCACTGTCTTTACTCTTCTCAGGTTCATCGCTTCTCCAACAACTTTTATAGTGATTTGAGTTGTGTGATGACAATTCAAGCAAAACCACTTCAGCAGAGACCTACCTGTTTTGCGGATAGAACGCAGTACGTATGCGAAATAACGACGCAGCCTGCTCTCTAGGCTGCATGCACCTGAGCATGAGGCCTGCAGAAGTCCGCGTGCTAGGCGTGTCTGAGCACACTCAGGGAAGGATACGGCCATGTGTGAGAATGAAAACGCACTGCTCCAATAGCAGCCACAAAAGTGACTTACCGTTAGGTGAGGGTCAATAGATAAGGGGAAGATAGCTGTGAATTCTTAATCTTCTGGGCTATACTGTGTGATTGCAGTCAGGGAGGACCTTAGACCTTATGTTCCTGTGGACGATTCTTCAGTGGAATGGAAGTTGAATTGGAAATGATAGTCTGTCCATTCGTTCAGCCAATATTCAGAAGTATCTGCTTGAGGTGGGCACTCTTCCAGACAGTGCCTTGTAATGGGCACATCTATCTATGCCCTGTTCACCGAATGCTTACAAGCTGAGTAATTAATTTGGCTCCCCCTCCCCATCCCTCCCGCCCCCAGGAATGAACAAGAAGGCAAATCACTGGGTGTGGGGGCCAGTGCTCCGTCTTTGGCCCGGCACCGTCTGGGACGAATCTCTGATGCTCGCGGACTCCATGCTTCCGTGAAGAAGACGCCTGCACATCTGAGGCTGCCTTCTCTCACTTCAGACTCCCAGAGGATGAAGACCCCCAGTGTGTGCAGCGATGAAGTTCTAAGGGGAACAAAGCCGTAAGTCTTGTTTCTCTCCTGGGGAACCAGAAGCCACATGTGACGGAGGATAGAGACAGGTGGACACCTTCTAAGTAGTTCATTAATTTGAATATTTCCCATGAACTGCGTTTCAGTAGTGTAGTTAAGCTGCGTGCTGGAAAGTAAAGTCAGGCAGAGAACCCGCGTTTGTGTCTTTCCAGTTTTTATTTAAATTCTAGTCAGTTAACATGTAGTGTAACGTTGGTTTCAGGAGTAGTATGACTGTTCGTTCTTTTTTATCTCTAAGGCTGTGTTTCACTCTGTGTGGGGGAGTTTCAGAAAAGCTTTTGACCTTAGGGCTCGACATCAAATCATTGCCCTGTTAGAAAGGAACTTGTCTTTTCCTTTATTACAGAGGTATTAGGGAGCAGCCCAGCTTTATCACTTACTCAAGTGCCCAGCAGTCTTTACATTAATAACGGCTAGTGTTTGTCGACAGCTTTCTGTTACCAGCACCAGCGGGACGAGTCACATTTATTATCTGACTTATTCCCTGCCACAAATCTTTTGAGTTAGTACTCGTGGGATCCCAGATCCAAGAGGAGGAGACAGAGGCTGAGAGAAGTTGCATAACTAGCCAAAGCTCCCAGGAAGGAGAGGCAGAGCCTGGGGCTCCCCCGAGGTGCTATGCAGCTTCCGAGACCTCCACTCCCTACCCCCCGGACCACTGGCCCCAGGCTTCCTGCAGCAAGGGAGGGAGTCATTAAGGGGGCTGCCTTAGGCTCCCCCTGCAGGGATGGGGTGCATAATCAGCTGCCAGTGCTTAACCAGCAACTGGATTTTTCTGGATGCATTACACAGAGCCATGTTCAGCTTTGTGATAGAGTACTGTGTCTTTCACCCTCTGGAACTGGTATTTCTGGTGGTGTTCGGGTTATCCGGGGTTATTTGCTCTGATAGTTCTTTTTTTTTTTTTTTTTTTTTTTTTTTTTTTTTTTTAATTTTTTTTTTTCAACGTTTATTTATTTTTGGGACAGAGAGAGACAGAGCATGAACGGGGGAGGGGCAGAGAGAGAGGGAGACACAGAATCGGAAACAGGCTCCAGGCTCTGAGCCATCAGCCCAGAGCCCGACGCGGGGCTCGAACTCACGGACCGCGAGATCGTGACCTGGCTGAAGTCGGACACTTAACCGACTGCGCCACCCAGGCGCCCCTGATAGTTCTTTTCAAGAGCTCTTCCCCTCCTCCAGTCCCACTGTGGTCACTTGGGACCCCTGACCCCATGCCCCCCGTCACTGGCACATTGCTGGCCCTCTCCTCCTCCTCCTAGCCCCCCCTGGGCCCCACAAACAGGCTTTCATCCAAAACCTTTTCTATTTTCTGTTGAAATCTGTGCCTCCAACTATACCTTCCCTTCATGTTCTGCCCCTTCCTATCCATACACCACAGACCCGTGTTTTTCACCTGTTTTTTTTTTTTTATTACTGCCATACTAAGAAGCCCTTTTAGATGATCTTGCCTAATTCCTCCCTCACCTGTGGAATTTTAATGCCACAAATATACCGTACAGTCTATGTACTGTTCTTTATGTCTGTGTTTTATGCATAAAAAAAGTAAGGGTTGGTTTGTCTGTCCCACCAATTACCGGCGTTGGCCCCTTGGGGGGCAATGTCGCCCTCATTGATAGGCATACCTGTTTCCATTACTTCTGATCACCCGCCTTGACTGGGTTCAGCCTTTTTTTCTGTCTGACCCACAACCATGCCAGCTGTGCTGGTCCTTCCCTCGTGGGGATTTTGTTCGTGCCCTTTCACTTTTAACAAAGTAACCTGCTTTTTTTCTATCAAAGTACTCCAAGTTCACAGTGGAACATTAGAATAGTACCAAAACTACAAGTAGGTGTCAAAGGTCACCTGTATGCCTAATACCTAGAAATGTAAAAATGATAACTGTTGATAAATTTACTACCAATTTTATCTATGGTTACGTTTCTTCTTTTCTTTCCTTTATCTTTTTTCCAATACTACGTTTTCCTACTAATATAGCTTTTTTCATATTTTTTTCACTTAACATTATTCCCATTTTCCACATTGTTAAATATTTGCGAAAGCATGATTTTAACGACTAGAAATAACGTATGGGTATGTGATAATTTGTGAAAAAGTTCGCTATTACTGGAACTTTTCCTTCAATATTTTCACTATTATAATGTACAGGGGACATCATTTTATGTAAATCTTTTAAGTTTTTATTTAAATTCCAGTTAGTTAACAAACAGTGTAATATTAGTTTCAGGTGTAGAGTATCATTTCATATAAATCCCAGTAAGGATGTCTTTAAATTGTTTTTCCTGCTGGTACAACCCTAGAAGTAAAGCTACCGGGTCAAAGATTATGGATAGTTTTACGACTCTTCACATCTTTTTCCAAGGCTCTTCCCAGAATGGTTCTAACAATCTGTAGTCCCACTGGCAGGACGTGAAACTCTTTCCTTGCAGCCTCTAAACTATGAGTAGTATGTGTATTTTAAAACTTGATAGCCAGTATGGTCACATTTTAATTTTCATAACTTGATTATTAACGAATCAATGAATTGGAATCTTATTGTAGAATATCCATCTCCATTCTTGTGCATGAATCAGACAGTCTTTCCATGTCAGTATCTGGTGGGGAATGTCTATCATCATTACTCTTCTGAACCTTTCCTCACCCTTCCTGACAAAGTCTATGATCTGGTGGTCAAATTCAAAACCGAAAAGTATCACATTGAACCTGATGGCATTAAATCTATTACAAATGTAGGGATGACCGACACTTTCACAATATTTAGTTTTCTCATCGGAGAACGTATCTTGCCTCTCCTTTTAATGCCCTTACGTAAAGTTTTATAGTTTTCCTCATCGAGGCCCTACACCTTGGTAATTAATTTTATCCTTCATTGATCGCTCCGTTCTCTCAATTTCTACAGCACTTCTATTTAGAATCGTTTACCATAGCCCTTCATTACATCAACTGATTACGTTGTTCTCTAATAACTTCATGGGTTTTCAGTAACTTACAAGCTCCTTAAGAGGAGGAACCAGACCTTCAATTATTTCCGTATCCTGTACAGGGACTAGCATCGCAGAGCAGTCAGTAAATACAGTTCGACAGTCACTGCCGAGCAAGGAGAAGGTGACCGGAGCTGGTGGTCAGTCCCCCTCTTTACAGTTGTCTTTCCCACACTCTGCTCATTCTCCTCGAACATTTCTTTTGAAAGGCAGCTGTGATTACCAGTTCCGATGAGGAGCTTTGTGGTGAGGTCTGTCCCCCTGTCTCTGTACCTGGGTGCTCAGTTACATGTTGTTGTGTTTACAGGCAAACTGGCATAGACTGGGGGTCCTCCCCACCGGCTCAGGCCTCAAGGAGCAGGTTACCCCCCATAGGCTCAGAGACTGGTGGGCAGAATGTGGCAGTTCCTGGATCTCGACCTGTTCCTGTAAGACACATTTCATTATATTTAAGTGCACCATTTAGATCGTCTACTGCAAAACAAACAACCACAATATAATTTTGGCCCTTCCGGGGCCAAGTACGAACTCAAGTACCGTGAAACGTCTCCATAATCTGCTTCCTGAAAGTAACTGGCATGCGAGAACTGACGGGAGGTGGGAGGGTTAATTCACTGTCGTGCGAAATGAAAACCGGATTTGAACCGAATCAGAAAGTCCAGGTGTCAAAGAAAATCTGACAGTCAGAATGCTATAGCAAAGAAAATAGCATGAAGGTTAGGTCAGGAGACAGGGAGATCTGTGTTTGAGCCCGGCCACCCAAATGTAGTGTAGAAATTAACGTAGTAGAAATTAATCTCCCTGCGCCTTTGTTTTCTGACCCGTAGAAGGGCCACAGTGATTCCTTCCTCAAAGGACTGATAGAAGGATGACATGAATTTATAGATGGGAAGTAACGCCTGCATAAAGTCAGAGCTCTGTAGAACGCCCCTGCCATTTTTATCAGTTCTCATGTTTACGGCTCAGGGGCACCATGTCCGGCTCAGGGGCACCATGTCCGTCGCAATGTGGAGGGAATGTCTTCTTCACCCAGGCTCAACGCGGCCACGTGATGGCAAAAGGTGTGGGGCAGGTGTGGGGCTGCTGGTGTGCATCACCAGATGTCCCCCCACAGTTACAGTGACTCACCACTTCGCTCTCTTACCAGTATAACTAACTCATCTCTATTTCGTAAAACACAGAAGGGCCCCAGTCGTGGGAACCTAAAAAGCCTAAGGAGAAAAACCGATGGAATGTTTTCTCTTGCATTCCTTTGCTTCCCTGAGTGCAGCGGCAGAATCCATTCCTAGAAAGGCAAGAATTGCACAGCTTTCGTGTGTAACCTTAGAATGTCGTGGCTTAGAGTAAAATCATAAAGGAAGGCAGACATCACATTAAAAAAAAATAAACCCAAAATTACATTTCTATTATAATTTAATATTGGGTACTTTATGCGGTTCGGGTTTTTAATCCGTATTTATCTATTAGGACACTTGCTTTATCAGGTTAAATAATAAAATGACATAATCAACATGTGTTTTCACATTTATGCTTGATAGATGTTATACTTCCCAGTATCTAAATAAAAGTTTCAGATAAGGGAGTGAATGGATGAATAAATGAGTGAATGGTTGAAACACAAAGAAAGGAATCTTCTTTTGTCTTTTTTAAGGATTGCGTTTACCTGAAACCAAAACATATTATCCTTATTTAGTACAGAGGGAGGCATCCACAGAACCGTGTGTTAAGTGCAGTACCTGACAGTTTGGAACGCTCGCCTCTTCGAGAAAGATCTCTGACCGTGGAACAGTTTTCAAGACCCAGCACAACCCATACATTTCGGGTAGGTTGTCTGTTAACCATAAAGTTGACTTTTAAAAATGTCTGAAACAATACGGGGGGCCTGGGTGGCCCAGGCGGTTAAGTGTCTGACTTCAGCTCGGGTGGAGATCTCACAACGCGTGGGTTCGAGCCCCGCGTCGGGCTCTGTGCTGACAGCTCAGAGCCTGAAGTCTGCTTCTGATTCTGTGTCTCCCTCTCTCTCTCTGCCCCTTCTCACAGTCTTTCTCTCTCTTTCCCTCTCAAAAATAAACATTAAAAAAAAAAAAAGAATCTTGTTTAAAAAAAATACGTGTAACAATAAAGCTCACCCCTCATTTTATTTTTCTTCTGACAGTTAGATACTCCTCGAAAAGGTTCACTGACCCTGATGGAATTTGCTGGCCACACATGGACAAGTCAGAGTCTGTTGACAGGTCAGTTTTCTCCACATGTAAATAAATGAGGTGTGATGTAAAGTTTCAAGTTTTGGAAAGAGAAATGGAAGATCATCTACCTAAGTAGGACTCTTTTGACCACGTAAGAGCAAATTACAAGTGTTTGTCACCCATGGCCAGACACAGAAGTCTCTAGAAAGAGCCACACTTCAAAGATAAGCCCTCGCCTGCTGTTAGTCATAAAGGGGAAAATGCCCAAATGCTCTGCATTAAACTGGGGCCTCACTCTCAGAAAAAGGAAAATGCTGTCTCAGGAGCCTCAGGACAAATCAGTGTCTCTCTCCACAATAACAGTTTTCATGTTTTCTCATCACACCCTCCTCTTAATTCCCTTTAAAGATCTAATTTATAAAAATTAATACAAATATTCTAAATATTTTAGAATGGAGAGTTTCACAGATAAATACTTATTTTCAGCCCAGTAGCTATTTTTAGAGTAAAGTTTCTAGTCCGAACGCAGGCCAGTGATGTTTTAATTCTCAAAACTGTTACCAGTATTTTTGTTTAAGGAGGCAACATAGTATTATCATGAACTGTGCCACTCTGGAACCCAATGCCAGGTTTCCATCCCACTCACTGAGCTATCTTAGGAGAGCCTTAACCTTCTTGGGCCTCAGTTTCTTCTTTTTGTAATAGTCTGGGTTGATCAAGCCATCACTGGAAAAATGTCCGGAGAGGACCTCGCTAGATTCTAGGCATATGTTGTTTGTTCAAGAATTAGGAGTCATTGGGATTATAGGTCATGTGAAATGCACAGGGTAACTTGCTGTGTTAAGGCAAATGCTACAGTTTAAACATAAGTCTAGTAAAATTGAAGCGTTGTGACAACACGCTAATTTTATCACTTTTTACGTCACCCCTTCTGTAGTTCTGTGGCATAGTGATGTCACGGATGCTTTAGCCTTTTACAGATTCTCTCGAGGAACACTCAGTGCAGTGGGGAAGATGAGGGGACTGTGAGAGAGGTGAGCAGGACCACCAGCTGACTGTGCAGATGGGTAAAGGGTCGAGGGGCGGCCCGGAGGGGCCGTGAGCCACGCAAATCGGGATGAGCATCACGCGGTACACGAGACCGATCCCCTGGATGGTCAGTAGACAGTGGTGCCGGCAGAGGGGACGCAGAGAATTTCGATGAGTTTCGTTTTGGAGATCTTGACCGCAGGACGCTAAGTGGAGCTGTCTAATAGTTTACTGGGCACACAGGATTAGAGGTTCCGAGAGGGAACTGGGTTCTGAATTCGTTTGAAATCTGCACATTTAATTTACCCCCCGTACTAAGTCAGTATATTCTCTTATCAGGAGTGTTGTGACTATTATTACCGACCGTCAGGAGCTTTTCTCATGGCTATAGAAATAACTGAGGTACATAAGAGGTACTTCTGTAATTCTAAGAACTTATTTTCTTTCTTTGTGACAAGCAGGCATGTCATCTCTTAACCTTTGCTTCCAGGTCAAAAAGCGCCCGGAACTATTAATTTATCGACATTTGTTCTGTGGCAGAAGAAAAAGAGAAAGGGAGAAGCTGAGGGGAATCCCCAGCAGTGGCAAGGGTCTCTTAAGGCAGCTGACATTCCTTCTGCCCCCATGAAGCCAGTAGGCCACCAGAAGTCACTACTCGGCTTCCTGGGATCCACCTCAGGGTAGAAGGTGCTAGCAAAGCCACCAGCTCTCGGAGGACACAGGGCCAGAACTTAGGCTTAGTGGAGAAGGTGAATAACATCCATCCTTCCTTCCTTCCTTCCTTCCTTCCTTCCTTCCTTCCTTCCTTCCTTCCTTCCTCCCTCCCTCCCTTCCTCCCTCCCTCCCTCCCTCCCTCCCTCCCTCCCTTCCTTCCTCCCTCCCTTCCTTCCTTCCTCTCAGGACCCTCGATGGCAGTTTTTGCATATTTCCCGGTTTATGTAAAAGCAACATCAAAGTATTTTGGTTTTCTTTTTAAAAAAAAATATCGTCTGCATTGAATGTACAAAGCCATCCTTTTGAGAGCTGGAAGTTTGAAGCAGTTTAATGGGCGTTACTTTGTGGTTGGTGTTTCAGGTTCACAGTATCCGCCTAGATCTTTTCAGAGGACGACTCTGACGTCAAGGAAGAGATTCCAAGTGGCGTCTTGATGGAACCGGGAGCAGCCAGTCTCAGCATGCCATTTATCACACGAATAATGGAAGAACAAGTATTCTACTACGCATCAGTTTGTCTGACAGCGGGACCTGAGCCCGTCTGAGAGAAATGCAAGCACATAAACAGCTTAGTTTTGCATCCTTGCATTGTAAAGAGACTCCGAGTCAAATTCACCGACCTTCTTCACTGGAAGCGTTCGGATCTAATAGGTGTTTATAATCCATCATCTTGTCAATCACACATACACAGACACACACATAAGCAGTGCATGTATTTACACACTCAACAGATGAGAGGATATTACCTAGGAATGGGCCATTTTGTAACTTTGTGTCTTGACGTGCGTTTTGTGTCTCATTCTGTGACTCATCCATCGAAGTCCTGGTTACTAATTGATGTGATGTCACTCCCTTCTTTAGAAAATAGCAAAGCCCTCTTTGGTATAGTATGTCAGTTTATCTAAGATTCAGATTGTTCTGGGCGTTGTGCTGACTTTCTTACACCTTTGTAAAAAATTTTTTAATGTTTAGTTTTGAGAGACAGAGTGTGAGCGGGGGAGGGGCAGACACAGAATCGGAAGCAGGCCCCGCGCTCTGAGCTGTCAGCACAGAGCCCGACACGGGGCTCGAACCCATGAACCGTGAGATCATGACCTGAGCCAAAGTCAGACACTCAACTGACTGAGCCACCCAGGGGCCCCCTTACACCTTTTTTCAAAAAGTACTTGAGTCACGAGCCTCTTTGAGAAATGACAGTAACTGTCTCCCGAGCCAATTTCATTTTGCTAGTTTTCATGCTCAGCCTCAGGCAGTCTATCCAAAAGTGTTCCAAATTTATTGACTTTTAAAGCTGACTAGAAACCTAATTTCCCCATACCGTGTATGGTTTCCTGTTTGCTCTCTGCGGGTGAAGGTGTTCATCCACTGGAGGGAAGCCCTGAAGCAGCCTCCTGCTTATTTTATCACAGTCTGATCTTTGCTCAGATGTCACATCTGCTGTGAACCCTCCCTGATCCCTCTAAGGCAGCAGTTCTTTCCGCTCTGTCCTCTGACCCTGCGTGTGTCTCTTCCAACCATGTTCCCCTATCTGGCATTCATACAGAAAATGGAATGGGGATTGCGAAGGGGAGGTGATCGGTTGGAGGCCAGGCTCTAGGGTCATTTTCTTTTCTTTCCTTTTTTCTTTCTTTCTTTTTTTTTTTTTTTTTTTT